CTCACCCTCTTTTTGCGAAAGCCATTTCTCAGCTCAGTCACAGAGCTACTAGGATCTGACATCGCCTGAACTTAGTCTTACTTTATTTTGACCTACTATTCCTATTGATGCAGAATCCTTCTCTGTTTGCATCATAACCAGAATTAAATCTATATCCATTTTGGATCTGTCCAAATTTATGCTGTTCTTCCTTAATAAAATGCACACTTTTATACCACTCTAGACATCCTGTGAATGTATTAATCTGGAAACTATAGCAATTTTGATGAAAAAATGTGCAGCTATGACCTTTTATTTATATATATATATATATATATATATATATAGTCAGCACTGACTGTTGGAACAAAGTGGCAAATAGTCTTATTGCACGTCAGAGTGACATACCCTGTATTTTTATGACAGTTTTGCATCATTCATTAACCTAATAGGTATCGGTTTAGTTTTATCATATCGATATAGCTAAGTTTAACAATGTATAATAACCCAGTTTGTGTTCATTCAGTCAGTGTGCATTATTGCTGGCACAATAAAATGTTAAAATATAATGATACACTTTATGCGTCTATGCTGTAAAAACATTTAGCCCTTTTTGCTTTAAAAGGATCTTCTTCATGCAGAGAAAACAGAAAAACTCAGGTTTTTAAGAAAATGGCTGCTTAGGAATGAATCATTAGCCAATGGATAAGATCAATCAACTTTAGATCAATTCATTTAGAACTTGTACAGGTGCTGGTCATAAAATTAGAATATCATGAAAAAGTAGATTGATTTCAGTAATTCCATTTAAAAAGTGAAACTTGTATATTATATTCATACATTACATACAAACTCATATATTTCAGATGTTTATTTTGTTTAATTTTGATGATTACAAATGACAACAAATGAAAATCTCAAATTCATCATATCAGAAAATTAGAATATTACTGAAGACCAATAAAAACAAAGGATTTATAGAAATGTTGGCCAACTGAAAAGTATGAACATGAAAAGTATGAGCATGTACAGCACTCAGTATTTAGTTGGGCCTCCTTTGGCCTGTATTACTGCAGCAATGCGGCGTGGCATGGAGTCGATCAGTCTGTGGCACTGCTCAGGTGTTATGATAGCCCAGGTTGCTCTAATAGTGGCTTTTAGCTCTTCTGAATTGTTGGGTCTGGTGTATTGCATCTTCTTCTTCACAATACCCCATAGATTTTCTATGGGGTTAAGGTCAGGAGAGTTTGCTGGCCAATTAAGAACAGGGATACCATGGTCCTTCAACCAGGTACTGGTAGCTTTGGCACTGTGTGCAGGTGCCAAGTCCTGTTGGAAAATGAAATCTGCATCTCCAAAAAGTTGGTCAGCTGCAGGAAGCATGAAGTGCTCTAAAACTTCCTGGTATGTGGCTGCGTTGACCCTGGACCTCAGAAAACACAATGGACCAACACCAGCAGATGACATGGCACCCCAAACCATCACTGACTGTGGAAACTTTACACTGGACTTCAAGCAACGTGGATGAAGTGCCTCTCTTCTTTTCCTCCAGACTCTGGGACCTTGATTTCCAAAGGAAATGCAAAATTTACTTTCATCAGAGAACATGACTTTGGACCACTCACCAGCAGTCCAGTCCTGTTTCTCTTTAGCCCAGGCAAGATGCTTCTGACGCTGTCTGTGGTTCAAGAGTGGCTTGACACAAGGAATGCGACAGCAGAAACCCATGTCTTTCATACGTCTGTGTGTGGTGGTTCTTGAAGCACTCACTCCAGCTGCAGTCCACTCTTTGTGAATCTCCCCCACATTTTTGAAGGGGTTTTGTTTCACAATCCTCTCCAGGGTGCGGTTATCTCTCTTGCTTGTACACTTTTTTCGACCACATCTTTTCCTTCCCTTCGCCTCTCTATTAATGTGCTTGGACACTGAGCTCTGTGAACAGCCAGCCTCTTTAGCGATGACCTTTTGTGTCTTGCCCTCCTTGTGCAAGGTGTCGATGGTCGTCTTTTGGACAACTGTCAAGTCAGCAGTCTTCCCCATGATTGTGTAGCCTATAGAACTAGACTGAAAGACCATTTAAAGGCTTTTGCAGGTGGTTTGAGTTAATTAGCTGATTAGAGTGTGGCACCAGGGGCCATCAATTTTGAACCTTTTCACAATATTCTAATTTTCTGATATGATGAATTTGAGATTTTCATTTGTTGTCATTTGTAATCATCAAAATTAAACAAAATAAACATCTGAAATATATGAGTTTGTATGTAATGTATGAATATAATATACAAGTTTCACTTTTTAAATGGAATTACTGAAATCAATCTACTTTTTCATGATATTCTAATTTTATGACCAGCACCTGTATATTTACACCCTAGTCACATGTGTAATCTTGAAAAATGTAGTTTTGGATTTATTCCGTCCTTCAGCCCCGTTTTAACCTCCTGGTATTAAAATGTACATGATGGAGTTCATTGTTTTAGCTGATGCTGCTTCCTCTACAGTTTGACCTGGGGTTTTTTTAAGCAACACTGCTGCCTTCTCTGCGAAGATGTTGCTCCTTACAAATGCTTCTCGCTGGAAAGAGACAGACTTTCCCCGTCTATACCAAACCGTCTCCCAACGTGGCTCCTGCCTGCTGATTATTGGGTTTGCATCCAGTAATGCTGTCATCAGCTTAAACCTCGCAGCATCATTGTCAAAGCTTCCCACTACAGCACATGATGTTGCCGTTAGTAAAACAACTCCTACTGATCAAGATAGTTTGATACTTGAGAAAAACGGGAGTAAAATATGCTTCTGTAGTTAACTGGAGTATTTGCTGCTGTTTTCAATTTGTTTGCGTGACTGTGGCCGCACATGCTGGCTGTTTACATGGCGACAAATGGTCAATTCAGGTAATGTCTTGTCTCTATGTTTCCATGTTGCTAAGGCATAATCTTCTGTAACCAGTCTGAGGAGTTTTCTTTTTCTCGCGAAATAAAACAGTTCTGTTTGCTTTTTTTTCTTTTACATTTCTACTATGAAAGACATTTCGTCATTAAATCACCACCTGTGCATCTTTGCATTTGTTGCATCTCGCAGACAGAATCCTTACAATGGCTGTGTTTTGAAACAGGCCTTTTAATGGAGCTCCCTTTATCTAGTAACTCCTGGTCTCGTTCTGCAGGCCCTCTTCTTCCAGGCAGCTGCTTCACTCGCTCTGTTCCCTTCTCTCCTGTGCCTGAAAGCCAGTTCGGCTCTGCTGAATAGCTGCTTCCGTGTATCCAGTCCCATTTCAAGGAGTGCTAGCTGGTTGCTCTTGGTTACAGCCAGTCAGGCAGTGTCTGGTTACCTCACCTTGCAGCGTCACATTGATGCATTGTTAACCCTTGGAGCAGATAATAGGGTGGAGCGCTGTGGCAAGGCTCCGGATCCTTGTTTGCTTTAAGTTCCCAGTAGGCTGAGGCAGGGAGTGAGTTGGAACTTGTTTTTGCACCTGCTCAGTGTTCTGCAGCAGCTTGGAAAAAAACTTGAGCCAAATCATTTGTGTAGAAATGAAGTGTCTTCTTTTAAAGGCAGCTTCTTGCATTCATGTGATAGAAAATAGACTTTGATCTCAGGTGGCTCACGCTACAAGAAGTGTTTCCAGCTGTCAATGATTAAGCAGCGAGGCAGGAGACCATCCATATGGCAGCCACCATTTTCTGTTAGCTAATTATGAACATGAAGGGTGCGCTGCATTGTTCAGACAACACTGTAAGGCTGTAACATGATCTCATCCAACAAGATCCTGATATGTTAAAAGGCAGCAATATTGCACCCAAAATGATAATCAGTCATCAGCTTTTGACTTCATCTGGAAGAGTTTATAAATGCGCTGCATAATGCATACACATCAGGTTGATCAATATTTGCATATCAACAGGACAGTTTAAAACTGTAGAAGACCGTCGGCTAATGTTAGGTTTTTACATACAGATCAGAGTGTTGGAAGCAAATATTCAGACAGAAGTGAATTTTTAACACTAGTGCTGCCATCACAGCTTACTGTTTGAAACTTACTCTGACTGTTTTATACTTATAATCCCAAATGTATAAACAAATGTATAAACATATTTTAAAATTTAGGAAATGTATCAATATGCTAAAATCCCCCCTTTTTCTCATGATTCTAGTTTTTTTTCTGTGTTTAGATTTATTGCTACAAGGATTAAAGAGCCTAAAGCAGCAACATGGTTACATTAGGTAGAACTGGCTCATTTCTGAGCTGTACGCAGCTACTACTTTAATTATATCTTTAAAGAATCTGATATTTATTGGTCCTATCATGGATTATCTTCCTGATTTGATGCTGAAAGACTTAATGTGCCTCTTTAGCAGCTGACTCTATTCTGCCATAACTCTGGTAGCTCTATGAGCAAAATTTGGGTCTGACTTCTATTAGCAAGTTGTGGTTAAGTATAAATTTCATGTTTTTTGTGTATCTGTGCTGCGTTTACCTAAATCCCCAGGCTCTATGTTTCTCTGACCGCGTCTGCCCTTCTGTTTATCTACCCAAACCCTCTGGTGCAGTGGCCCCTGCACAAAGCAGGCTAATGAGAGCATTCTTAATGAGAAGCTCCAACTGGATCCATACATCATCCCTGAGCTGAGGAGCTGCTACAGGATTTATACACCTTTGACAAATGACTGTGCATGTGAAATACTTGGAGGTCTTCCCCTTTTTCTAAACCCCACTAAAGAGCCCATGTTGAACTTAATTAATCTGAGTAATTAATTACCTGACATGAGACATTACAGGATGTGTAAGGCAGATCTGTGATAAACCATCTGCACCCGGGGTCGTTAATCAGCTTAAGGATTCTCGCTTTAGTTTACTGCTGGGCTCAACAAAACTCTAATCTCTACTAATATTAAAGCAAAATAACACTCCCTGCTCCGTTTTGCTTGAAATCGGTCCAAGATGGTGGGACCTTTCTCTACAATGAACCCCTTTCCTGTTTTTTAAGGTGATGTTGACACATTTCTTTGTTTTTTGACAGAGTACAGTCGCTTTGAGTCAAAGATCCACGACCTGAGGGAGCAGATGATGAACAGCAGCATGAGCTCAGGATCAGGCTCCCTGCGCACCAGCGAGAAGCGCTCCCTCTATGTCAGGTACACACAAATACACAGCTGCACTCACTACATCGAATTCAGAGATCTGCTGTTAAAATAACCACTCTTGCATAACCAACCTCAGCTCGTCTGTGGGGGTGAAAGAAGCCTAAACACACGTGTTCTTAAAAGCAGGCACACATGGCACAGATCGTGTGATGAAAGACTCTTTATTTTATTCTATTGGGCGCTAAGCTGTAAGTGAGATGTTTAAGGACGTTTAATTAAAGGACGTTTAATTTGGGGCAGCGGGTTGATGGCGTTCATCCTCTAAAAGCTGACGGACACCCCGTGTTGTTGTTTCGACGCCTCAGATGACATTGGCTCAGCTTCTTTTAATACAGATTGACAGAGGGGCTTGTCAAAGTGACTCGCGTTATGACACTTTGGGCCAGTTGCCAAACTGGATGGAGGTTCATTTGGAAATGAAAGCAGGTGGCAGCCCTCTGCCTACACAAGCACTGCAAGTCATAAAGGCTGAACAAAGGTTCAAGGTGAAACATGTATGTGATGTAACCCTGTTGTCAGGGTGCTTCTTTGTATTTTTGCTGAAGCTCTGATGAGCTTAAAGGCCTCCTCTCACCACTATGTGCCTCTTCAGAGTATGTTGTATAATTACGGCAATGGTTTTTAACAAAAAACTTTATTTTGGATATTAAATGTTGAGATGAGCCATTAGTTGGCGTCTTGCAGATAAATGAATATCTTCATCAATTGATGATGATGTATTGATTCTGACTAACAAACAGCAGAGGCTCTAATTGAGCAGCTGCAGTATAAACTAAATGGACTACATATCTAGAAGTAACAGACTGAGAACTATAATAGTCCAGCATTTTTTTCAGAATATGACAGATTAAAGTGATTTTAATCAAATGGAGAGCAGATAAAGTATAAATATATACACTCCCCCTTTGTCCTTCCATACCTGATCTTCCTTTAGAGGTTAACTCTGTGGATATTTGCTCCTGTTATTCACTTTGTCAGCTGGTTTTCTAACTATAAACTAGGGATAGACCCATGTTTTTAACGCCGATTCTTACTGTTTTGATAATAATCTAACCGGCCCCCAGTTGGGCTGCTTGGTTATTTGAAGCCAATATTTATTTTTCTTCCTCTTTACATAATTAAAAATGACAATGATAAAAAATATTACACATTTCAGTTCAAGCAAAAAAGAAAATTAAGCAAAAAATTGATTGAACTCTCTCCTGTTAGAACAGCATATGATAAGTTTTTATCTAACCTAATTTAATTCAAAGTCACAGTATAAACCACAGCTAAAGTTTTCTATGAATTTAAACATTAAAATAAAATGTAACCGAATTTAAATTCCTGCACACACACTTTTTTTACTACTAAAGTAACTTACTTTTAATTAATAAGATTGAAATGGTTTTAGCTTTAGAGGCTTCTTCTCTCAACTTCCTTGAAACTTCAGTCATGTCTGGCAGTTTCTACATCAAAGAAATAACAGTATAATCAAGGCTGATTTTCTTTTTTTTTAAGTTAAAATAAATTTGTTTTTGCTTGTCGGTACACTGCTGCTAAAATTAAATGTCGGAATAATTCATGCGTGTTAAAAACAATGTGTGCTCATCTGTCAGCGTATGCTGCTCTGACCAATTCAGGTGATCTCAATGCATGGCTTATGAATGCACTAATGTATCAGGAAATGCATGCTAATAGCGGTTCAGACGTCGGTCGGCCTTTGTCTAGATTTGGTATCCCACTACTTTTTCATATATGGTTGGGATGCATGTCTGTCCCACCCAAAATACCAAAAACAAAGCAACTTTGTCAAAACTCAACATTGTAGACAGATGTTGCCCAATTTTTCCACCAATCCAAATTAATAAAAATTTTTCTCACTCTAGTTTTATAATAAAAAAGAAAAATTAAACGTATTGCTTTTAAAAACAGGCTTTGATTTCAGTTCTCCCTTTTGGATGTTAACCCTAATTTAAATGAAATTGAAATAAAACTTTAAAGAGCCACATTGCTAGATTTAGATTAGGATTAAGTCCATAGTTCTACTGCAGTCCAAACTATCCTGAAAGAATATTGAATTCTAGGTTTAGTATTTAAAGCTGACCCATTGCTAAAAAATGTCCACTTAAATTGATTGTGAACTCTGAGCACTGAATAGTGTTCTGTGTGTTCGAATCAGTTTTCTGAAATAAAATCAGGCCAACGTTATCTTGCTGAAGTGCCGGTGCTCCTGTGCAGGTGACTAAGCCTCCAGTTATGCTGAGTGAAGCAGGAGTTTCCTTATCCTCCCTATCAGCTTCAGGAATGCAGAGATCTGCAGCCTGTGAGGTGCACTGCTCTCTGGCTCCGGTTGTAACACAGGAATTTCAAGGTGCTGCAACACAGCTAACACAAGGAATTTCATTGTCAATGCTGACAGTGGACTTGACAAGCTTCCCTTCAATTGCATCATGGTTGATTCGTCATCATTTCTTCCCGTCTAGTTTCAGGTAGCAGCGTTATGTCCGATAAAATCTGAAAACAGTTGAACCGGATGGTTAGGTTAAAGCCCTTTCTGTCTCACCTGACCTGTAAATGTTAGCTTGGAGGTCAATGGAAGCCTAAACCAGTAAAGCGCCTACTAATTCCTTCAGAAATGGCTGTTGGTTGACTGGTCCAACAAGATGCCGTGGCACTGATGACCAAGCCTGTTTGTTTAATTGTACAGCAGTGAATTACAAATGGATTAATGATCAATTATGTGGTTCAGTGTTGTAGGTTGGCATGTGATAATTTCTGTACCTTTAACCAGTAGTTATGAAAGTTTTTAGAACAAGTACCACCCCTATAAATGGATCATATATGTGGGGTCAGGCACTGATGTTGGATGAGAAGGTTCGGCTTCTGAGTTTTTGCTTTCATTCATCCAAAAGGTGGAGGGATGTAGTTTTTAGATGTAGTTTGCTGTGGAAAAATCAACCAGGTCTTTGATAAATGCTTGTAGAAAAAGCCTCGGTTATGATTTCACACATTTGCAGCCCTGAATGATACACAAACGGCTGAATCTAGTGGTTTGGAAAGAGGAGCGGTTACTTTAGCTGTGGTTTACATCTCTGCTTAGAATATTAGCGATAGCCACTTTAAAACCAAAACAGTTTATTTGCAACTCTGATCATTTGTATTATGTCACTGATATTTTTTCACTCAAAAAAAATGTAGAGTAGATTGAGGTTACCAAGGTGCTTTTCAGGGACCTTTAACACCACCTGCACTAATTTTGTGGCGCTCCATGATAGGGCTGATACACTTAATCGGATTAATCGATTTAAAATAATCATCTACTAATTTAGTTATCAATAAATCCTTAACTGTATAGTTAACGAGTATAGAGAATGTAAAACATGCATTTAGCTGACAGCAACGCAATTAGAGCTGTAATTATATCAAGATTGTAAAAACAGGTATAAATATTTTGTATTAAAGTTGAAAGAAACTTTTTCGTCTGTCAGTATGCCTTATCTGGAACTTTTCAAGTTGAATTGTTTTAGTTTCAGCTGGTTTAATTTAGCAAAAAGTCTTCTTTAAGGATGCCTTGGATATCTGATTATTCATCAAAAAAATATTCTACAGATTAATCAAATTATTCCTCTTTTTATAATCTATCTAAATGCAGCTTGTTTAATTTTGTAGTAATTACATCCATCAGTGACTTTTAATCCCATCTGTATGGTTAAATACTTTTTTTTACTTGGCTTAAAGGTATAGTGGTTGCTTTATAGACTGATTGATGTTGTTTGTCTGATGCGTTCACTGAATGAAGAAGACAAGATGAGAAAGATAGTTTTGTATTTGTGGTCTTCTTTTTTTATTAGCTCTCATCTTTGTCCTTTTTGGTCAATTGATTGAAATCTTAATGAAAGAGTAAAGACCAACTCAAATCTTATTTTTTGCAGAGCTCTCTTTGACTATGATCGAACACGAGACAGCTGCCTGCCCAGCCAAGGCCTGAGTTTCTCTTATGGGGATATCCTTCATGTCATAAACGCTTCTGATGATGAGTGGTGGCAGGCGAGGCTCGTCACTCCACACGGAGAGAGCGAGCAGATCGGAGTCATTCCTAGCAAGAAAAGGTAGATTCCTCCTTCATGAAGAGCACCTGAGTGATGACATCCAAAAAACATACAAGAAACCTTTTTTTTTGTTTTGTTTTCTAGAGTGGAAAAGAAAGAGCGAGCCAGATTAAAAACGGTCAAGTTTCACGCCAGGACAGGCATGATTGAGTCCAACAGGGTAAGTTTGGAGGAGCAGCCACCCCGGGGCCCCCAGCGGCTGTCCACAGAGCTGCTGCAGGGCTCCCAGGCAGATCTACCACTTCCTCCTGAGTGTGGGAAAGAGACCAGCACCTGTTTACTGGAGCAAACACAAAGACCGCTCAATTTACGCTATTGATTACAGAGGAGCTCCCTGGAGATGATCTCTTTGGAACCTCTACAGCTTGTTTGCTCCATTTAACAAAGAAATCGACACTGGGCAAAATATTTACAAAACAGCAAATTAGTTTCTTATCAAAAAGTTGATTGATTAAGTAAATAAATAATTCAAGAAGCCTGATTATACACAGTGATTTATTTGATGATTAAAGCCTGGAGCTCATGATGAAATTAGTCACTTCAGATTATTAACAAAAGGTTGTAAATACATAAATATCTCAGATTCGCAGCTGCATAGCCATGAAGAAAACTGCTGTGTTCACAGGAGAGTTGCTGGCTTCAGCCACGGTTTGCTATTAGGAAGCAGGAACCACTGCAGCCTTGATTGATTCACAGATGGAAGCAACAGATTATTCCTCCTGTCGGCCCGCTGCTGAAGTAGAAACATCAAACATGTAACTTACATGGAAAGAAAGGACTGGATGGAACCCTTTAGAATAAAAATAGTTCCCTTTTTATGTCTTGAGGAGTTCAAGTCATTTTAAGGAAAGCTGTAATCTGTTAGTGTTTTATTTTAGATGCTCATGTGTTCAGATGTTGGAATTAGGTGCTATAATACCACAGATATGTAATCTATCTATTTAACAATTTTCCATTTTTAACTAAATGATTACTGAGACATCAGGTTATGTTGAAGGATTATGGTTCCTGCTGAGGGTTCCTTTCATCTGATGGAGGTTTAATCTGGTCGTCTCTCCTCCACTCTGATGTTCCAACCATCACCTGTGTCTCGCCCTCATCAGTTCATGTTAATTGTTCACATTTTATTATTCCCCCCTTCCCTCATTTTTTGCATGGTTGTCGAGTACCTTCATTGAAACCTCGTCTGTTTTTTTGTTTTTGCCCTCCTCCCCCCTCCCTCCCCCCCTCTCTCACCCACACATCAGCAGCCAGTTAAAGTGAAGCGCAAAAAAAGCTTCAACCTCTCACGCAAGTTCCCGTTTTACAAGAGCAAGGAGAATATTGTTGCCGACTTAGTGGAGTCTGAACGTGAGTACCAGCTGTGTGATCCAGGGGAGGGGGTGGCTCTTTTTCTCAATTTTTTTTATTTTTTGTCCTCTTCCCCCTTCATGCTTGACTTCTGTCGTCTTCCATCTTTCCGCTCACCTCCAGGGACGGTCTGTGCCTCGGCAGCACTCTCCCCCCTGCCTCATAGTCCCAGAGAGATGCCCCACAGACAGTGGAGGTGTGGGTTCCCCCCCCCCTCCCTCGTCTGTGGGCTCCAGAGGAGTGTCTAGCTGCATGTGTGCTGCCAGCTGTTATTTATCTTTGGGCTGATCAATTCTCCAGTCAGGCAGTGACCTCACAACATGGAGAATCTCATTACTGGACCAAAGCTTTAACTCTTAGCAGGTCAAAATCCCATTTTAATGGGATTGGGTCTGTGTAATTGAATAGTAGTGGCTCGCTATGAACAAAGTGGAGCTCAGGCTTAATGAGTATGACAGCACAATGTGTCAGCGGGCGCACTCCTCTCCTCTTCCCCTCCGACTCTCACTAACCTCTTCTTCTTCCTCTCTGCTTTCTTCTCTTGGTTTCTGCTCTCACCTGTCGGGACATCTAGGACTTCCCGGGGTTAAGCGATGACTTTTATGGATCAAAGAGTTTGAGTAAGTGTGTGGTTGCACCGCGTCAAGCAGCTGTCCCCCAGAGAGAACGCTTTGTCACCGCAGACCCGGCTGGGAATGCGAGAAGCGCAGATTTAGACACACACACTCACTGATCTTCCACGGCACATATAAACGATGCATTCCTATGGGAGGGGGAGCCAGGGGTGACACTTGGTCTGAACGTCTCCGGGGGTCCCTCTGCCAACATGTTTCTCCTCATAAGGTCACACAGAGTTCCGATACTTGTGTTGTAACTCTGTGTCTGCTTGAAGAGCTCCCTTGAGTCAGCCGGCTCCTGCCTCCCTCATGTGAGCAACGTTTTCCTCCACTTTCCCTGATACCAGATCTGCTGCCACCAGCACAGATCCGCCGATAAGAAAACACTTGACCAGGAGAGTCTGGGTCAATTGGGACATCGTCACAGGAAACACTTAATTTCCTATTGCTTGCACCTAAAAACCACTTCCCTAGTTCTGCAAACGCTTGACTGTCGCTTATAGAGGAGCTTCTGCTTTCTTTATACCCCTTTTATTTATTTTTTTAAGGCCTATTAGGTCATAGAAATTATGGGCCTTTTTTTTTTTTTTTTTAAGACTATATAGACAGGTGGAAATACATTTAAACCTTACAACTGCTTAAAAAAACAACAGTTTGATGAAAAAGCTGTATTTTGCTTTTCAGAATGCCTGACATCCAACACAAGTGACAGTGAAAGTAGTTCAAGTAAGTCCATTTTACTTTAAATTCCTCATAAAAGTAGTCCTGCCTGTTTCCACGTACCACCCTGCTTCAGCCACTATCTTCAATGTATTTTATCAGAGTTTATGTGGTGGACCCGCATGGCTGCATAGTCATGAATGTATTGATATAAAATATGGAAGCTGTGGGTCTTTGCACACCTAAATACTAAAGATCTTTGGAGTCTTCTTTTGAAAGAAGCTTCAGCTCAATCTGATAAGACCACCATCATTTAAGGAGGAGAGGGTGTGTTTAAGATGATCTGCAAATGCATATCGGCCAGAAATTTAAAGGCTCATCTGAACGGATCTCAGAGCACCCCCCCCCCCCCACCACCTTTTTTTTCCTATATCATAGACTAATAGTTGTTTAGTTAACAGATTCTCCCACCTGAGCTGTAGATCTCTGCAGCTCCTCCAGAGCTTTTTATGTGGCTCATCTTCTCCTTGCCCAGTCAGTCTCTTGAGAGGCTTGTAGGTCTTCTCTGTTCTTTCTGTTACTAAATGATGAATGTTTTCTCACTGACTTATGGCTCTGAGAGCAGCTGGATTTAAAATGAGATTAGATTACTGACAGATTAGGAGTATTAAACAGGACTGAATGTGAATCCTGCTTTATATTTGACTGTATGCATTGCTTTGTTTGCCACAGAACATCCCGATAAATAAACTGAAGTATGCGGTGAAAAGGAAATGTTTGGTTCTTTTACATTTTCAATTCAGATGTGACCTCTGATTCTGCTTTGTGTTTCTTACAGAGGGTCAGGAGGACACAATCCTTTCCTATGAGCCAGTTATCCGGCAGGAAAGTGAGTGAGACCGCAGCTCTCCACAGGTTTGCTATCATTTATTGTCATGTAAACTTACATACCTCTCTTGTCTCCAATCCAGTCACCTACACAAGGCCTGTGATCATTTTGGGCCCAATGAAGGACCGAGTAAACGACGACCTCATCTCCGAGTTTCCCCATAAGTTTGGTTCATGCGTTCCCCGTGAGTTAGAACCCAGCCGCCCTGCCAGGCGCCAAACATATGAGCAGGGACAAAAATAAACCTGTTCCGTTTGCATCCGCAGATACGACCCGTCCAAGGCGAGAGAACGAGATCGACGGCCAGGACTACCACTTCGTGGGCTCCAGGGAGCAAATGGAGAAAGATATCCAGGATAATAAATTTATTGAGGCGGGTCAGTTTAATGAGAACCTCTACGGGACGAGCATCTTGTCAGTCAGAACCGTGGCAGAGCGGGTAGGCACCAGAAAATCAATACTTCATTAAAGTGACACTAACATGAATGCTGAGGTATTTACTGAGCTCTGTGCTTTTAGGGGAAACACTGCATTCTGGATGTGTCCGGGAACGCCATCAAACGACTCCAGCAAGCTCAACTTTATCCGATCGCCATCTTTATAAAACCAAAATCAATCGAAGCTCTAATGTGAGCCACACTCTTCCTTACTCACTGCAGTCTGAACAGCTTCTATGTGCTGAAATAACCCTCCATGTTTTTCAATCCAGGGAAATGAATAAGAGGCAGACGTATGAGCAGGCTAATAAAGTCTTCGACAAGGCAGTTAAGCTGGAGCAAGACTTTGGAGAGTATTTCACAGGTTGGTTGCTGCTTTTTCAATTATTTAATCACAACTCTTTTAATTTTTCCTTCCATTTTGTACCTTTTAAAGATGCCAAATGTTATGGAAACCGTGTGTGTGTGGAGTATAGGGCTGCAGCTAACGAATATTTTGCAGATCGATTAATCTGTTAATTATTTTTTCAATTAATCGATTAATAATCAGTTTACAAAAGGTTCCTTGATTAAGACTTTTCATGAAATGAAAAGGTATCACTAAAACATTTCCATTTGAGAATTTCGGATAGAGCATATCGACAGAAAAAAAATGTTATTGTTTTATTTCATCGTAAATGTAAAATGTGTTTTTTTTTCTCTCCACAATCTTGGTATAATTGCTGCTCTACATGGGTTGCTCTGACAGTTAAAGGCATGTTTTAGAGTCTCTATACTCCAGTTAACGATTATTCAATTACTAGTTTAGTTGACATTTATTTCAATAATCGTTTAATCACAATTCATCTGGTTAGTTGTTTCAGCCCTAGTGGAGAATAAAAGAAATTTTTTTTAGATTTAACACAAAGTTTGACCCTTTCAGCCTCCCTTTGGACCTTCATGAACTAACCTGCTACCCCAGATTAGCAGAAAACAAACAATGAAGCGCTGGTTGTAAATAATCACAGGATCTTTAAACTCTAAAACGTCCTTTAGAAGCTGAGAGGCAGCCAGAACTTTCTGATGGCGAGAATCACAACGTTATCACGTCTGCTGATGAGGAGACAAAAATAAAACCAGAGAGGAAAAAATATGACCTATAGAAGAATGAGATGCAAAAATTAAAATCTTATAAATAAACTGATCGTTTGATCTGTAATTCACGTATTCCCTTAATTTAAAAAAAGATCTACTTCTGATTTTATAAGTTTAAAGCAATAAATTGTGTTTTTCACTATTTCGCTCAAATATCATCACAGCTATGTTTGCTTTTCCATTTCACTGTGATCTCTGCTCTGCATGCAAACAGTGTATTTGTGCAGCAGGAAGGACGTATTCTGGCCTTGACTTCCACAGATGGAGATATCCTGAGTTTAACAAGAATAATGGACATTTATTCGTTTCTTTCTACTCAGGCACACACAGGACACCCTTTTCTCTTTGGGATCTATAGTCGTATAAAGATGAATAACTTCCACAAATCCAGACTATGTTCTATTAATTTGTTGATATGTGGTTTGTTTGCTGAGAAAGTACATTTCAGAAATGTATTTTATTTTATTCATATTTCAATTGGTAATTTCGTCAAAACATTTGAAAACCTCTGATCTAAATGATGATTGTGCCCAGAAGTTATCAGATTGTTTTTTCCTTCTGATCAGAGCGGCTAATAAATGCTGTTTCCTTTGTTTGCTCCTAGCTATTGTACAGGGTGACTCACTAGAGGAGATCTACAACAAAATCAAGCTCATCATCGAGGAGCAGTCTGGTCCCTACATCTGGATTCCCTCCCCAGAGAAGCTCTGAGCTCCCTGCCGTCCTCCCTGCTTCGGTGCAGAGCTCCCTCCCAGAGACCCCCCCCCCAAGCCCCTAACCCCACGTCCACATGCCAAACCCCCCCCCCCCCTCTCCTCACCTCCTTTTTGCAGATATGTTTCATATCCAGTTTTAGTGTCATCATTTTGTTACTCTCTAAATGAAAAAGAAGTCTTTATCACCATTACTGTGACTGTGCACACCCCTGCATGAGTTTCTCAACAAAAACCATTCAAGACTGGAATTGCCATTCCAAAGGAATTTTGTCAAACAGAAGGGAAAAGGAGCGAGTTCCTTTATGGGATCGGGACTGCCTGAAGATGGGCCTGTTGAGCAGAAATCAGGAAGGAGGAGTTAGTGATTCAAAAAGAAGAAATATAGACAAATCAAACCAAGTTGGAACACTTTGTAAATGTTCATCAGATCACATTAAAAAGACACGAGGAGAGGCGAAGAACAATTAGGGTTTTGTTTTTAGTTTTGGGGTTTTTTTATAAACAGACTGGATCCATTTGAGCCCTGCTGATGGTACTGTTGGAGGAGACGTATGTTTATACTGATGGAGGAAATTAGCAAAGAAGCCTATTAAAAAAAAACAACAGAAACTGGCAATCTGTTCATCACAAAGCAGCTCTCTGATTGGTTGTCAGCGCTGCGGCTGATGAAGGCAGATCAAGAGGAAGAAACATGTTGTGAATCTCTACATTTATATTATAAGATCACAAGATAAATCATAAGTCCTCAGATTTTACAGCATATGAAAATCTTCACATTTTACACTTCATTAGAAACTGTCGCTTGGAGGGCTGTTAGTTTTTTTTTTTTTGTGGGTTGTTTTTTTTTTTTTGCTCTTATTTTTTTGGCTTGTGGTTTTTAGCTGCTCTGTAAAGGAATGGGGGTAGAGAAGTGTAACCGGGCTCTCTGCAAAACACCAAACTGCCTTACATGGAATATACATTGTTTTGTGAGCACCTGTTGTGAGGGAGGCTGCAAGTAATCGATGAGGGCCAGATCTTTACTTCTGTGTCCTCCAAGCTTCAGGAGGTCAGACATTAAGTGCAATAGATTTAAAATCAAGTCTCACCTCCTCTGGCTCCTTTCACATCCTTGTTTTCAAACTTTTTTTTTCTGTATAATCTGACAATTTGGCTTTATTTAATCCGGACAGGTAGAGCCTCCCAGCTTCTGTTGAGCAGTAGACGACCCCATTACACTCTCTGCCTTCCTAGAGGATTCACTTCTGATTGGTCACATGGTACTGTCCTATCTGCCGCCGCTGTGGTGGCCTTAAAAACGGGTAGAACAAGACAATAATTGTATTGGATGTTCTAATAATTAAAGAGTCAGTATAATCTGTTCTGAATTGTCCCCCTCTACCAAAAAAACACTAAAGTTGGGTTTGAGTAAACCTTTTATGCTTTGAGTATCTATAAATGTGTTCATTCTTAACGACTCTGAACCCCTGAGGTGAGCACACAGAAAAGAGTGTTGGTTGGAAGGGGTTTAAACTGGACGGCCTTTTCTCCTGCAGGACTAAGCTTTTTTTTATTTCTTTTTGGCATCACAGAGATTTCATCGCTCAGTGCAGTTTGCACGTCTGCAGGAGCAGCCCCATCTCTGAACCCTCTTGGCCCTTTCAAGGGTTTTTTTTCGTGTGTTTTTAACTCAAATGGAACCCAGAGCCGGGTCCCCTGCTCTCTCCTGCTCACAGCACCTGTAAGCTGCAGGAATTGTTTTTATTTTTATTTTCCGATCAGCTGTGCCCACCTACCAGGCACCGCCGCTGAACCAGCTGTCATTACCTGTGTCAAAACCAGAGTTCAGGGAATAACCGAAGGGAACAGAGCCATTAACTGCTTGCAGACTGTTTCGAAAAATGGTGTGGTAGCTAAACAATGTAAATAAGCCCCCCCCCAACCCAGCAGATCATGCATGTGTGACTCAAACTTGGACAGACATGTTTTATAGACCATAGACATCAGGTAAGTAAAAGTGAGCTACTCTCCACATACAGGTTCCATCCAAATGTGCTGTAACGTCAGTATTTCTCTTCTAAAGGAACCGTTGCCTGGTGAGAAGGGTTCCGGTTCCTGGAGTAGGCTCCCGTCTACATGTGGTTTCTCGTGGAACGTGTGGGTGTATAGTTTTAAATAAAAAAAGACGTATAATGTAAAATAAAAGCAATTCAGACAGAAAGCTACAGAAACACAGAGCATCGATCAAACTTCAGAAGCGTAGAGTGGATCCAAACCCAGCTGACTGTTAACGATGTGTGAGCTTCTCATGCCTCGGTCAGCCATGTCCAAGCCCAAAGAACTCAATCTCATTCTCCTCTTTCCATTGAGGCTGTGCTAACCAGATGGTACCTGAATGCCTCTGTGTATAACTGACGAGGGTCGTTCTTATGAGAAACATATTGACATATATGCTTTTTATTTGGGGGGGGGGGGGGGGGGGGGGTCGGGGAGGGGGCTCAGGGTCTCTGTTTGTACTTTTGGGTGATGGTGTTTCTGTTCTAGCACATCTGTGCAGTAAGTGCTTGCAAACATGAACCCTTTGATTGTACAGTAGTTTCCTTCCTGTCACTGCAGGTGGTACAGCCTATCAGGACGCTCGGCCTCATGGTCTACCCTGTCCTAGTCATGAGGGAACGCAGTCCTGCAACTTTTGTTTGGGTTTTATTTTGGGACTTGACAAGAGTTTATTTGTTTGGAAATAAAATGTGACTCGGTTATAATCTTGACGTGCTTGTTATTCTGATTTAAGTGCTCCACCTGCTCCCTTAACATAGAAACATCAGTCTTCCTTAAACAAGATACATTTTCTAGAGTTTAAAGCCTTTCAATGTATGTTTTAGCCATAATAGTGTACTATCCAACCCTTGCAATGCTGGATTTTATCTACTCATTAGTATTTATGTTTATCCATCTGTATCCCTCAAGACACAAAGTACTTTGTAAATTGAAATCTTTAAAGTTATGTTTTTATCAACTTCAGTATATCAACATTTTTAAATTTCCAATCAATAGCATCAGAAACAGATTGTGAACAAACATTTAAACTCATAACTTGCTGCCTAACAGCACATCTAAATTTTACAGATTTGAACAGAAACGAATTACAAAAATGTAGAAATAAATATTAACTACAGTGCAGACTATTTAGCTAAGTCTTTATGTCGCTCTTCAAATAACCTGAGCAGTTTTAATGTCATTTTCTATTAATTTAGTCAGATTTTGGAAAAACAAAATGTAAGGGACCCAAGAGGGTTTGATACTTAACAGCTTATACTTAACTCACACGGTGAAGATGAAAGTCCACCACCTCTTTCTTTGGGGGGTGTTGTAGCAAAAAGAAGTAACAAAAACTGAACTGTAACAAACTACAATTGGTTCACCTTCAGAACGTGTAACATCTAGGAGACAGTAGCTGAATGTCTACTCTGTGTGGCGGTTTTTCTTTGCTTTGTCCAATCTGTCCAGGATTTCACTGTAAAGGCCAGACATCTGTGGATAAACAATCAGTGGATTATCATTTCCATGAGCGTGGAAAATTCATCAGAAAAAAGGCCCTAATATTATGTACCATATTATTTAGTTTGTTTTAGGATTCATCTTGCAGCTTATAAAAATCAAACATTAAACTCGCTCAGAATATGATTTTACTAAAACCCAAACACTTTAGGCTAGTGTGAAGGGTCTTTGCATTCATGTTGATTTCTTTGCATTAAATACTTGTTTTCAAGCCATTCGGCAGCATGGTTTAGTCTGAACAAAAATAACTGGATAAAATCCAAATAACTCACTGACTAGCTTATAGCAAAATTATTTTTTATTTTAGATAAAGAGAATGTATCCGTTCATGGCTATAAGATAAAATGTGTATTTAATAATTACTAATATGTATTTAATAACCAACTTAAATAAACCATTAAGAACTAACATGGTTTTATACATTTCAAGTTAAAATGATTTTTGTTTTTTTTCATCAACCAATAGAAATATTACTAGTTTTAAAGTATTGAATTTGCAGCATCTTTGGCCTTCCATACCTGCATACCTTTAATTGCTCCTATGTATTAGGATTCAGTAAATGGATTCAGGCTCCAGGTTTTCCTGTCTCTGTGCGCCGGCACCAAGCCTTATGTGGTTTTTAATGCAAACTGTTCTTGGGGAAAGCTATGATCGTCTTAAAGTCAGAAGAGGTGCATTAAAATATTTAATTAGGTTTAATGTAATATTCAGGTTTTCTGTATTTTTTTTTTCTTTATGATAAGCAGATTTTTAAAGTTCAAGGCCTGCTGACCACATCATGGCCACACATTGGCCTCATAACTTTTACTGAAGGTTCTAACGCCGTATTACCTAGCGCTAAACCCAAACACTACATATCCCATAATGCCCGGAGTTTTTAAATATTAGTGAATATGAGAATAACAATATGACAGACTTCAATTTTTTATTTATTTAAATGAACTATTTGATGATATTCTGATTCATTGAGACAGTTTTAGTATTTTTCTTTCAAAGAACAGATTCCAGTTTGTTCGCATCCTACATGAGAAGGCAACAGTGATGCTCTACCTGCATCTCGTAGCTCTGGCGTAGAGATCGCAGGTGGCGGATGAAGCCCATAGCGAGGCCGCACCACTTCTCTGCTTCGTGGTATTGGGTCAAGCTGTACAGCAGTATTCCTGTGTTCCAAGCCTGAGTCAGCAGCCACAGGGTCTCCATCTCTGGGAAGTCATCTGACTGTCGAGAAGAGCAGGAAGATGTTTAATAAAAAGCTTTTTACCAAGAACCACCTGGGTGACTCACTTGACAAAGTTCCTTTTAGTGTGCAGCAGCGAGGAATCCGAGTGAACTTCCATCAAATGCTGCGCCTTTGTGTGTTAACCTTTTCAAGACCATGAACGAACTCCTTGGAATCATTTCATTCATATTCTCTGACACTCTAATCTTGTCCCTTTGCTTTGATCCAAAGATTTTCCTCAGCTTTCAAGTATTAACTCAGTCTGAAAGGGGAAATACGCACCGCCTGAACAGCAGTGCGAGGCTTCCACAATCCCATGCCTTTCAGAGATGCTGCTCACCGGCAGTGTAATGATTTGAGCAGAACATTAACATTCAAATTGGCAGGAAGGGGCGCTGAATGGAAGCATCTGCTAATTGATGCGTGGCTGAAAGTCCATTGATTAAAAAAAGAAGAAACAGCAGGCAGAGGGGAGGAGAGGGGGTTAATTATGGAGCCCAGGGAAGTTGGCATGTGATTGGTGCTAACTCACTGTGATTGAGATGATGGACAGGGCCTCCTCGAAGTAGTCCCACACCTCCTGCAGCATGTGGGTCTCCACTTGTGACACACCACTTGGAAGGGACAGCTTGATCAGACTGTGAATGTATTTGCTAAGATGGAGACATGTAATTAGAAACAGTTTCCCTCCAATAAGAGCTTTAAAGGAGAAGAGTATTTTGATGCAGTGCGGTGATGCCTGCAGTGTGTGAGGTCAGCCTGTGGTTGTTTCCTGTGCAGCGAGAGAGCCACTCTCAGAGCCTTCTTACAGAGCAGAGGGAAGTAGGCAGGAGGCTCCATGGCTAAGGCTTCATTTAGAGAAAAACAATAAATATGAAGTAATGGAGCTAGTAATATTTGATCTGCTCAGTTTGTTATTTTTTTTAAGTTTAATTACCTGCAATGGATTCCAATACTTTGATTTCAACATTTTCAAGCTCCAACACTGACTGGAGTATGGTCTCCACCTTTGGATCATTCAGCTTTGCACGAACTTCGAATTCATAAAGCAGCAGCAGGGAGTCTGTGGGATCTGCTTGAATGCTGCCTTCAAATTCATTTAAGAGGAAAATCTATTCAGCTAAGGTCTTAAAAAAATGAATAGTCAGATTATATTGATATACTGCCTTCCGTACCTGATGCTTTCAGGGTTTTCCAGACCTCCCAACAGGCCTGAATATGCTCCAGAGCCACAGTGAGCTCTGCATCCTGTAAACCAAACACACTTCTCAAGGATTCTGGACTCACTGACGCCATCTAGTGTTTTTTTTTTCCCTCTTCCAATGTGGAGGGATTTAACTGAAAACACCTACGCCTTTGCCAGCAATGTTAGTCACCTCTCCTCTCCACTGGTCTTGGTAAATTTCCATCCTTTTTGAATGTGAGCTTGCTAAATGTAGAGGATGAGGAGGGGGTGGCACACCTGGTTGGAGAGAGGAGACTTCCTGCAGAGCTCCAAAGAGGCACCAGCTGCCATCAGCAGACATGTCTTCTGGCCCATTAGCAGTGTGCGGTCAGGAGGGCACAGAAGGGAGAGCTATAAGGTCAGGGAGGAAAATAAAAACGTTAATTCTGGCAGCTGAAGCAAAGTACAGATGCTCTGCTTTGTTGTCTGTGTGTTTAA